GTTGGGTCAAATTGTGGCCCAAATAGTGAGGAATCCGTTCCTATAGCCTTGGCCCAAGAAACAATGGAAGGAGTAAACCCAATTTCTATTGGAAGGAAGGTTATTAGTGGGAATAAGATAGATTGCTCTGGTCAAAGAAACGGTGAAAGAAGGGGCAGTTTTGGAAGAAGCTCGGGGAGCGATGAGGGGAGTGTTGGTGATGGGGGGCAGAGGTGTGTAGCCGGAACTCAAAAGAGAAGGAAGATGGGTTGAGAACATGCAGATCTGTATACCTGTAGGAAGCCTTGGTGCAGAGGAAGCAGAGAAGGAAAAAGGGGCAAGGTCGCCGGAGCAAGCAGCCAACGGGGGGGGCAGATTCTGCTAGAGTTTATAGCTAGTCCAAATGGAGAAATAGTAGGCGAATCTGTAGGGGATAGTGGGATTCATAATTGTAACATATCCATAAAGAGGAAGATGCAACAGAAGCTTGCTAAAGAGATTTGGGAGCTAGCCAAGCACCTAGGAGCGACGGCAAAGTGCGATGAGGAGGTTATCTGTAGAATTGATGAAATGGAGAAAAGAGATAGCCAAGCCAAAGTTGAAACGGAGAAGAAGGAAGCAGGAGGTGCGAAGAAGGTTTGTATTTATTCCAATGATAATGCTATCTTTTAACATTAGAGGCTCAGGAGGGGTTACGAAAAGAAGACATATAAGGGATATAGTTTTGAGGGAGAAAGTGGAATTTTTAGCTGTTCAAGAAGCCAAATTGGAAGTTGTTGACAGGAAGCTGTGTAAAAGGGTGTGGGGGACGAAGGATTTTGACTGGATAGCCAAGCCATCTAGGGGGCTGTCGGGTGGATTGTTGTGTATGCGGAATAATAAAATTTTTAAAAAGGAAGAGGTGATAAAGGGGGACCATTTCATTGGGGTGTTTAGGACATGGGGGGAAAAGGGAGTACCAGTTTATATTTTAAACATTTATTCTCCATGTGAATTGTTTGGAAAGAGAGCTCTGTGGGAGGAGTTGCAGAATCTGATCTCAAATAGGAAAGGCAACTGGTGTCTAGGGGGGGACTTTAACGCTGTCCGGAGCACAAGAGAGCGGGCAGGGTGTAATGGGATGTCCAGAGAAATGAGAGATTTTGATAGTTTCATCAACGAATCTGGGTTGGTTGATTTGCCTATGGTAGGGAGGAAATACACCTGGTACAATGCTAATGGCCAATATATGAGCAAGATTGATAGATTCTTGGTTTCAGAGGATTGGCTTTTGATATGGTGCGATGTAAAACAGTGGGGGATGAACAGAACAGTTTCAGGCCATTGTCTTGTTTTATTGAAGAATGAGCGGGTGGATTGGGGACCAAAGCCTTTCAAGTTTTTTGATGCTTGGTTGTAGGATCATGGGTGCAAAGAGCTGATTAGAAAAACATGGAACTCTACAGCAGTGGAGGGATGGTATGGATTCAAACTCAAGGAGAAGCTAAAAAGTATGAAGAAAGCTTTAAAAGAATGGAGCAGAAACTCAGTGACAGAGGTGGATAGGAAAATAATGGAAGCTGAGAGAGTGATAGCTCAACTGGACGAAAAAGGAGAGAATGTCCAATTGTTACCAACCAAAATTGAAAAGAGGAGAAGTAGTTTTCTTGAACTGTAGAAGAACCTCAAATTAAAAGAGAACATGTGGCAGCAAAAATCAAGATTGATGTGGTTAAAAGAAGGTGATGCAAACACCAAAATTTTCCATATGTGTGTGAAGGGAAGATGGAGAAAAAACGAAATCAACAACATCCAGATTAATGGTGAACAACATAAGGGCGTGGGTGAAATTAAAGAAAAAATGGCGAGTTATTTTGAGCAGCTTTTCACAGAAGATAGGTGGCAAAGACCCAAGCTAGACGGTATCAGCTTCCGACAGATTGACGAGGCAGACAATGAATCCCTTATGGCAAGATTCTCTGAAGAAGAAATCAAAAATGTTGTTTGGGATTGTGAATCGTCAAAGTCTCCAGGCTTGGACGGATTTAACTTCAAATTTGTGAAGTGCATGTGGGAAGATATAAAATCGGAGATTGTAGGTTTTATTAGAGAGTTCCAGGAACAAGGAAGGCTTGTAAAAGGATCAAATGCCTCATTCATAACTCTAATTCCAAAGGTAGAAAACCCCCAAAGGATTGAAGAATACAGGCCCATTTCACTTATCGGAGTTATGTACAAGATAATTGTGAAACTGTTAGCAAATCACCTTCGAAAAGTGCTGGACAAAGTTATTGAGGAGCAACAAATGGCATTTATTGAAGGTAGACAGTTGGTTGATGGTGTGGTTATTGCTAATGAAGTGATTAGTGAGGCGAAGAAGAAAAAGAAGAGAAGCTTCCTTTTCAAGGTCAATTTTGAAAAAGCATATGATAAGGTGTGCCGGGACTTCATAGACTATATGCTGATGAGGATGGGCTTCTGCAATACATGGAGAACGTGGATACATCAGTGTCTACAATCTAGCATGGTCTTAGTTCTGGTCAATGGAAGCCCTTCAAGACAATTCCCAGTTAGCAAGGGACTTCGCCAAGGAGACCTTTTATTTCCCTTCCTATTCCTGATAGTAGTGGAAGGGTTGAATGGTTTAATGTCTTCTGCAGTTGAAAAAGAGTTATATAAGGGCGTGACAGTTGGCAAGGATGCGGTAATGGTCACCCACCTTCAATTCGCAGATGATACCATCTTTTTTGGGGAAGCAACAGAAGATAACATCATGCTGATTAAAAGTATAATGAGGGCTTTCGAGCTGCTCTCCGGATTGAAAATTAATCTACAAAGGAGCCAACTTATGGGCATCAATGTTGAAGACAGCTGGGGAAGCAAAATGGCCTATAGATTATGTTGCAAAAAAGGGGAATTTTCATTTAAATACCTGGGAATTCCCATTGGGGGAAGCCATAGAAGGCTCACAATGTGGCAGCCCTTGTTGGAGTCTTTTAAAAAGAAGTTGACAAGCTGGAAGGGTCGGCAACTTTCTCTTGGGGGTTGAATTACGCTCATTAACTCTGTGTTGTCCAGTTTGCATGTGTTCTTAATGTCAGTATACCTTCTTCCAAAAGGTACTCTCAAAGCTATTGATAAAATTCGCAAGAGTTTCCTATGGGGTGGGGAGAGAGAAAGGAAAAGAATTAATTGGATCAATTGGAAGAAGGTTTGGCAACTTTCTCTTGGGGGTTGAATTACGCTCATTAACTCTGTGTTGTCCAGTTTGCATGTGTTCTTAATGTCAGTATACCTTCTTCCAAAAGGT